CCATCCATCCATCCATCCATCCATCCATCCATCCATCCATCCATCCAGGTTTTACCCAAATACCCTTCTGCTTAGAGAATGTGGTGAAGCCTTCCTTTACCTCCCTAATCAGAATGGCTGTTTTATTCTCTTATCCTGTTTTTTCTTTATAACACATATTGCAACCTTCTTATCCGTTCTTCCACTAGAATGTAAGCCCAATTTAAGCATGGCTTGTTTTATATATTCTTTTATCACCTGTGCCTAAAAAGAATACCTGACACACAGAGACATATCCTATGTCCTATGTAAATATTTGATGAATGACACAACTTCTATGTATGGATGGAAAGATAAATTAAATACCAAATGGGTGGACCAGAAGCCTGAAAAATATCAATACATTCATCAAAGCACTATATTTATATTTTTACTTGGTTCTGTCTTTCTGCAGTTTACTTCTATCACTACCAATAACCACGTGTTGGATTAAGCACTACATTCTGAAGTACATTTTGACAAAAGCAACACATACTAAATGGAAATTTCTGATAAAAATTTTTATCAGTATATAGGGGCACCTGGGTGGCTTAGTTGGTGGAGCGTCTAGCTTTGGCTCAGGTCATGATCTCACGGTTAGGGAGTTCGAGCCCCACGTCAGGCTCTGTGCTGACAGCTCAGAGCCTGGAGCCTGCTTCGGATTCTGTGTCTCCCTCTCTCTCTGTTCCTCCCCCACTCACGCTTTCTCAAAAATAAATAAACATTAAAAGAAATTTTTTTAATCAGTATATAAAATTCAGAAACATTACTACCAGAAGTATCTTAACAGGAAGGTTAAACAGGAACCCAGCTAGCCAGTTAACAGTGGGTTTCCGACATACATATACGGTATGGAAGGAATCATCAGATTTGCAGATGGGAAAGCAACATACTTATGTGGAAAACCACTGCGGGGCAGCTGAGTGGCTTAAACATGCCCGTCTGATCCACTAATGGGTACAATTCATCAAATGCAGAAATACACGCATGTTATTTGTCAAGAAATTAACAGGGCAGTGGTGGAACTCTTTCCTAGGTTGGGGGCTTAAGTCATTCACTTTAGCTGGAGATATTGGTGATTTCCGTGTAGCCCTGGATTGTTGTGTTTGAAGTAGGCAATTATCTGGACAAACATGTGAATTTGGGCACATTAGCTATGACTGTATTACACACATACACCCCAAAAGAAATGTCAGAGAGCTGTGCACAGAAATCTTTCTTCCTACGGTGGACACGCTGTGGACCCTCAGTAAAGTGCTGACTGCCCAACAGGATGGCAGCCTCAAGTGTGAAACATACAGTTGCAATTGCACTTCTATTTAACCTAAGTTTGAGGAAGAAAATCAATTCTGTCAATAAGGATATTTACAGAGTATCTTCTATTTCCAGGCATTATGGCAGTTATAATAATCTACTTAAAAAAAAGAAACACACACACACACACACAAACACGGTCCAGAATAGGGCGCTGATGTCTCTGAACACGTTAAGTCAGTTGTTACTGAAAATATCCTTTAATTAATTCCTTTTTCCCTGAAGACTCCTAATGAGACCAAACTTTTTGCTCAATGAATTGCTGCTAATTAAACATGCAGTGTTACAGCCTGAATTTGTAACTAGTTTTCTGAACTTTGTTAAATGTTACCTGACAAATGAGAAGGTGAATATGAATAACTTAAAGGTGTTATGACCACTTTACATTTCCACCTATTCCAACAGATTCATACACACACTCTTCTGCATTTTAACAGTGGCTGCTGCCTACAATTTTTGAGCACACTTTTTATATTACCAAATCTATAAAAATTATCTTCTAAGAAGTTCAAATGCTACACTGAAATAGGCCCTTGGTATTATCTACTGTTTGAGTGGAGATACAGTTCATTCTTGGAATACCAAATTAGTAATCCCATCAGTCATCGCAAGCATTTAAAGAATGCACAAGCCTTTAGTGAGGCACCAAGAATCGTACTTTAACCACCCAGTTGTTGAAAATTATGTGAAAGCTAAGGGGAAAGTTGAACATTTTCTCCTACACAAACCCAGGCGGTTTGTCTGTGAGAAAATTATTTTACTGAAGTGCGCAGGCATGCACAAAGGGAATGCACTGTTTTTTTAACAACGAAATTTCTGACCCCGTGGAAAAACCTTCATCTTTGTTCAAGGCACTCACTACATTTTTAACCTTGAACTACGAGCAACACATAAGATCTTATTTGTAAGTAATGGACTATATTTGGTTATTTTCAGGGAAACAAATGAAGCTTTGAAAATACTAAGAAGTAAAAATAGTTTAACCACATAAAACACATTTTTTAAAAAATTATTCTCCATGTACCCAGCTTTTGATTATAGGACCTATAGTTAATTCATACCTCTACACCAATACCAATGTCTAGGAAATGCACAATTTCTAAATATGCAGAGGAACAGACTTATAAAAGAGTGAGAAGAATGAAAGAGACTATATTCTTTGTACTAACAATGACCTTGAGAAACATGGAAAAAATGGAAGCTGCCTTCTTGATACTTAATCACTTACTCATTGTATTTGGCAGGAGGGAAAGTTCCAAAGCAAGATGAATTCTGACAGTACAAAACATATACCCTAAAGCAGATCCCTGTGTCAATCAGGGGCTTTCCTTTGCCATGAACATACATTTGTGGAGCAGTGATAGCCTCTACCTATCAAGTTCCTAGCGCGGCACCCATGGAATGAATAAATGAAAGACCGGATAGCATCATAAAAGAGAACAGAGAACAAAATATTTCACTTTGGTACAACTATTTCTGGGTGATCCTCCTTGTGTCCACCAGCAAGACCCTGGATTTCTTGCCCTGCCACACCTAGAAGAAAGGTCCACACCGACAGTTCAGTTGGCCTTCCTTGCCCAATTCCAGCAGGCTCCTTGGGCTTTTCAACGTTTCCAGTCCAAATCGCCACCCTGGGCCCTATTGCAACAACCTAATTCCATGAAGGAAACTCAACTGTAAAAGGTGGAGGACAGGGGCAGAAAAACTAACCCTGGAAGGGGTAAGCAGAGGCAGGACACCAGCACTCTTGTTGTGGAATTTCCTGCTCTGCCCAAGAGAAAATACTCCCTGGCGAAAAGTTAAATTACTAAGGCCAGTGGTTTCCTAACAATGTTTCAGAGTTAATAAGTCTTATGGAGGAAAATGTCGTATGGTTACAACATTGTGGAAATAAGGAACTGGACCGGTTTTCTTCACTGCAAGACTTCTCAGAGCCTTGAATCATGCTAAGAATGTGAATCTCTTTATTGGAATGTAGGAGTCTCACGAGTCTCACGAGTCTCACCTTGCTTTCTAAAGAGGCTTCTTTCTCCTAATATGTAAAATGGTAGCTGAAGATCAATTTAAGCCATTTTTACAGTGACACACAGAAATGTTTCTACATGTGAAATTTTGGAAAAGAAATGTACTTTTTAAAGTTAACATACTGAGGGCTCCAAAATTACCTGATTCGATCGAGTACAGCACTTCAGCGTTCTTCCCTTTGTCCTTGTCCAGAGCTGTAACCTGCAACACTACTGAGCCAATAGCTGCAGATTCATAAACCCTCCCTTCATAGGAGGAACTTGTGAACCAGGGGGCATGGTCATTGGTGTCACTGACATTGACAATAATCCGTGCAAAGTTGCGCTTCACAGGAACATCTTGATCCCGTACCTGAAAGATTCAATACATTATCATTCCTGTGTGTCTGCGTGTGTGTGCGCGGGGGCCCGGGCCCCCCCGGGTCCCCTATATGGGATTAAAAATCACTCTTAAACACAGGAGACCTTTCAGAAACCAAATACTGGCCAAAGGATGAGAAGAAAGCCGTACCATGACGGTAAGAACATGTTGGTGGATGGCTTCATGATCAAGTGTTTCAGAAGTATAGAGAGAGCCTGTCGCAGGATCAAGACGAAATTTCTTGAGACTCAATGGATCAATGCTGCTCTGCAGTGTATAGATGAGCTTGTTTTTTTCATCCTTATCCACAGCACTGATTTGCAGAATTTCCGTTTCTGGCACTGTGTCTTCAGGAATAACAACTTCATATTTTGATGTAGAAAATTGAGGACGATGGTCATTTGTATCTATTACTTTGATGAATACCTATAATGACCAAAAAGACCCATTATAATATCCCTAATTATAATATTTTAATATTTATAGAATCAAGGGGAAAAATCAGGTGCACAATGGGGAAAAAAACGGATTTAGCAAAATGAAATACAAAATTGGGAAATAAAAACAAAAACCTAGAATAAAAAAAAAAAATCCTTAAAATTTTTCATTGCTTCTTACCTGTATGAGCAAGATAATGAACACCTCTCTAAATTCTTGAGAGTAACTTTGGAGGGCATATGTAACACCTTTCACACACTTCTTTCTGACTGAATACTTAATTTCTCTTAGGTCACCACTAGAGAGATATTTCTAGAGTAGTCATGGAAGAGTAACCAAGAATTTACTTGAGCAGGATTTACAGAAGGCTAATTTCTTGTATCAGATTTGAATCTGCAACCACCACACTAATGAGGAGAGTACGATACTGGATGATTACTGTGTTGATCTATTTATTTTTTAGATGATTCCTAGTATTTAAATTTCTCATTCTAATCTTTAGGACTCCAAATTGCTATTGATAAATTAGAAATGTGCTTTAAAATCTTCATTACATTTTTGTGACCATAAAACTTACATATAAATAGGAAACACACTCATTTCCTAAAAAAAATTTAAGGACACTGAAAAGATACACTCTCTTAAATATGTCAGCACAGGGGCACCTAGGTGGTCCAGTCTGTTATATATCTGACTCTTGACTTCAGCTTGGGTCATGATCTCACGGTCATGGGATCGAGCCCTGTGGGCTCTGCAGTGGGCATGGGACCTGCTTGGGATTCTCTCTCCCTCTTTCTCTGCCCCTGCCCCACTTATACTCTCGCACTCTTTCTCTTAAAAAAAAAAAAAAAAAAAGTCATCCTAGAATAAAAACCTTAGAGGGAAAAAAAGCCAATATTAAAAAAAACTTAGTCCTAAGCTGAATTAAAACTATTTTTTTTTTACTTTAACAGTAAGAGGATTACTTTTCAGATTGAAAAGATGTGTGTGGATAAGGCATAGTGCAAATCAGTACCAATTATAATAAGATGGTTTAGTTACGACCAAGAAATCTGAGCTTCATTAGCCTGTATAAAGAGGTTCACTAGTCCAAATGGCACAGTAGGACAAAGTCCCGGGAATGCAAAGGTTTTTATTAAGCACACTGGTGCAGGCATGTGAACTAGAGGTCTTTCCATGGAAACTACACCAGTGCTCTCATAAAACCCTACAACATCACTGATGGACTTGTAACATTAAACTTTATATACTTAAGATATGCATTCACTAAACCACAGAAAGATTTTACGTGAAAGTTATGTAAACATTGAAAATTACAGATCATTTTTCAAAGGTCAGTGATGATCCAGAAGAGATGGTTATAATTTCTCTAAGTTAAACCATTATATATTCATTTCCACTATAAATTTATGTATTATTTTTCTAACGAAGTTAGTGTTGGGCAGAGGTGCTTTACTTCTGCTCTAAAGTCAATTAATCACAACTAAATAGAACAGCTAAAGTAACAACCTTTTTTTTTTAATTTTTTTTAATGTTTATTTACTTTTGAGAGAAAAACAGAGACAGAGTACAAGGGGGGCAGGGCAGAGAGAGAGAGAGAGAGAGAGATAGAGACAGAATCAAGCAGGTTCCAGGCTCCAAGCTGTCGGCACAGAGCCTGACGCAGGGCTTGAACCCAGGAACTGTGAGATCATGACCTGAGCCGGAGTCAGACGCTTAACCAACTGAGCCACCCAGGTGCCCCAGTTAACAACCATTTTTGATACAGCAACTCCACTGAAACATGGCCGCAGGGCCCTTATACACTCGGCACTCACCTACACAACACTGGGGGGCAAATATATGTGCAACAGCCTCTGCCCTGGGTAGCTTTCAACCTCCGCATGAAATGTCTTACGCATACAAAGCCACATATTATCAGGTAAGTTATCAAATAACTTTTTAGGAGTCCAGAGATGGTGTGGGACATTTGAAAGCTTTTAAGGAGGAGGTAAGCCTTGGCTTGCGTAGATGATCAATGTATACTGGGATTGGGGGGGAACGCCTTGGTCAGACGTGAAGGCAAGTAATAGCATCACACATCTTGGCTTCTGGAGACTGGAGAGAAGGACATTGAACTAAGAGATGGTAAAGGAGAAGGGAGAAGGGAGGATCCAGTATGCAGAGCCTTGAGAACAAAAACTCCCGTGTGCTTTGAACTATTTGTTGGGAGGAAATTCACCTTTACCTCCTCTTCTCAACTGGCAGACTATTCTAGCAGAGCAAGATGAATCGCAGGGATGGAGAATGGGGACAGGGAGATGACTCAGGTGTCAAGTGGGGAAAAGAGTCCAAACCAGTGCTGATACGCAATAGCGAGTGCTCTGTGGGCGCACAAGGGCAACTGGTTCCAGGGGCTTCAAGCACAAGCACCCCGTGTGCTACCTCACTCACCCCTCAGAAGTGCCTATGAGGACAAAATCACGATGCCCAGTTTCCAGGTAAGAAAAGGGAAACACAAAGGGTTTTAGCCACTTGCTAATGGATAGGGTTAAGAGATTCAACCAAATGACCTGAGCATAATGTTGACCGATGCTTGAAAGAAACCGTAAGAAAACATGAAAGCAAAGCTGTTTTGAAGAAAAGAAAAAGCCTTAACTGGATTTTGTTAAGTTACCTCGAGACACCAGATAAAGCAAAGTGACTTGAATCAATACCCATCAGCATCCAAAGCAGAAAATGGCAGGACAGGAAAGCATGGAGCAGTGCTGTTTCCAGAAGGTACTGGGGGTTACACTGTGACCCGCCCCCCACCACCACCCACCTCTGCTAATGATGTACTCACTATGGCTTAACCCCACATCTCCAAATCTTCCCCAAATCCCCAAATCTCCGATTTGCCCTTGGCTATTGACCTCAATGCAGCAAAACTCACCCTGTTGGTTCCGGACTTTTACCTACAAACCTGAATCTACTGGGCTGTGTTTCTGGTACCTTATCAACCTGGTTCTGATCTCGGTGATGCTCTTCAGATGGTATCTGCTGCTGTGTTCTCACTCACACTCCTATCTCCCTGTCATCTGCCCCACATGGAAATGTAAACCTAATTACTGACCGTCCCCTCTGTCTCACACTTTAACAGGTCAGCGTGGGCTCTGTAACCACTAATATTCTGACTACCTCTCCCCGCCGGCAATTTCATTAGAATATTACCGAGACCCCCTGAAAATGACTCAAAATAACTTACAGAAGTATAAATGAAAGACTGAAACTGAAGACATTCTGCATCCCTCAAAACACTAGAATCTATTTGCCAGGATCTATGTGATATTTCAATCAACCTGCACCACATTTCACACTAAGCTTTTGACTGTCCTAGCTAACACTACAATTATTGGGGGAGGAGCCCTCTGCTAATTACTCACCTATGTCGTAAGTGGTAAATCCTACAGGTAAACAGAGCATCTTCATTAATGAGAACGCCTGGCACAGAGAGCCATTTAGTTCCTTTTGCTAGATTTCTGGCTAGTTGATTATTTGAGCTGGTCCACATAAAGTTATACTCTTTGAGCCTTTCAAAATTTATCCTGTTAAATTTATTACAATTCTTGATATTTTTATTCTCATGTTCATGCTCTAAAGCCTAACTTCTAAAATGGGAACAGTTACTGACAAAAATGAAATTTTAATACTGTGCTGAAACGTTTACATGACAATCTCAAAATGACCCCAAAGCATGGTACATATGTCAGTTGCAAATACACTAAAAACCACAAGCATTTAGAGAAATGAATAAGGCCTTTTCATAACTGGCTCTAAATTATCTACTCACTTATTAGTTGAAAACACATCTCAGACTTTTAGTCTTCAATCCTACTAGATGATTTGACAGATGATCTGTCTCATATCAGATTTAAATTAGTATAATTTAAGATAAAAAAAAAAATTGGCTGGGGAGCCTGGGTGGCTCAAGTTGGTTAAGCTCCAACTTTAGCTCAGGTCACGGATCTCAGAGTTTGTGACTTTGAGCCCTGCATTGGGCTCTATCCTGACAGCTCGGAGCCTGGAGCCTCCTTCAGATTCTGTGTCTCCCTCTCTCTCTGCCCCTCCCCTGCTCACACGTGCGCATGCCCTTTTTCCCCTCTCAAAAAGAAAACATTAAAAAAATAATAAAGATAAAAAACTGGAATTCAGGAGCATTTTATTCAGTATTTAATTTCTTCTTCTTTCAGAGTACAGCAGATTGTATGTAAATCTTAGCTTCTACAATCCTAAGGTAAGCTCCAAAGGTGCAGGATTTTGTTTCCTAGTATTTAGCTTCTAGAAGAAACCTGCCATATAACGAGTGTTTAACAAATTCTCTAACAGTCCACAATGAGAATCAAAGAGAATTTAGACTTAATTTATAGGATTTTTGCCATTTCAATTTGAATTCCCAGTAATCTGACCATCTCTTAATCATCAGATAGGAACAAATAAAGATGTTAAGTGAATTATGACAACAATTTTACCATTTTATACAGCCCTAGTTAAAGTAGCCAAGGTGGGGGAATTGAGAAAAGGGATTTAAGACATAATCAATCACTTTAATGAGCTTTAATGAAAATGACTCGCAGAATTCATCCTCAATAGTTATAAATTTTATATTAATATTGTTCAAAATCAGCAAAAAATTGAAAGATTTTGATAATTAAAAGGGGGCTTTTTAAGTCTTCTTGCAAAATTTCCAAAACTGGGGAATTACATGCCAAACCTAAACTGAGACGTGCAGTTAATTTTCTTTCCCTAAATACAAAGCCTTGGTGTGCATATGTGGAAACTCTAACAACAACACAGTAACTCTGTGAGCCTCCGAGGGCAGAATCAACTGCCCATACCGCCCCCAGGCCCCGGATATCACAAGGTCATACTAATCTTCCTCTGACAAACGCATCCTTACTAAGTCACCTACCTGTGTAAGTATGGTGGTGGTTCCGTCTGTGGCTTCGACTGTGAGGTTATAGTTTGATTTCTGTTCTGCATCAAGAGGTTTGGCAACAACGATCGTTCCGGTGCCCTTGTCAACATCAAAGTGACTGTCATAGTTGCCACCTAGGTTAAATTAGGACATACAGAAAAGTAACAACAGGTAGGTCATAGGATGAAATTCTGTCATTTATTTTGTGGCTTTCTACTTGTGAATGACAGGGGGGAAAAAACCAAAACACTTCTGATATTGATCAAGGTGATTCCAAGGAGCTTTCATTTTGAAAGACAAGAAAAGATGGGCCAACTAGAAAGACAATGCTTACTAATGCAAAGTTGAGCTCTAATTTCAAGGGAAGCTAGTAACTGCGAGGAAAGCAACTCTGAAAACAGAAAAACGTTGCTAATATTGCCAATGAATTACTTTCGATTTGCTCCTTCAGGGGTTCTGAATAGGTCTTTAATTTATATACCTCAGTAGCTATACAAAGCATCACTTACTAACCAAAATCGGCTATTTAAACGTTTAACCACACACACAAAAATTGTGACACTTGAACGAACTGCCCTAATAAATCAACTATTCAAAACAAATGTTAACTCTGGAAAAAATAATGGCAGTTAATGTCAATTAGTCCTGGCTCTTACATACTTGAAAAGAAACTTTCCCCATTGTTGCCAAACACAAAGCTTAAGGAAGCAAAAGTTTCTGTGCTACGAGCATTATCCAAATGCATTCCCAATTATATCCTAGATAAAACTCTCTTTTCAAATCCACTGCACTTGAGATACTTTTATCAATGAAGCGAAATGGAATGAAAATAAAGACTTAACGTCATGATGATGTTCTATTACAAAACGCACCAGAAAGCAAAACGAAACACACAGAAAAGCCACAATCTTCAGCTAAACCTGAAACTAAGGATGATGTGGAGATGTATCAGAAGTCAGCATGTCTGCAGCTGGGATGGGTGACCATGCGCACACCATGGAAACAGAGGGCAATGAGAGAGTCACTGGACACGAAACAAGGCTTTAAAAGCTGACGCTTTGATCTTAGATCTCATAATCTGAGGCAAATTATGTGATCTCAGCAGATACCTTCTGCTGTACAGTTCAGGTCACAAGTCACCTGCAAGACGTGAAACGCTTCTCTAGCAAGTGTGTCGCCTGGCACGGCCAAACAGAAGCAAGCGAGCGTGGGAGGCAAGCACAGAACAAGGAGCAGCAGTCAATCAAACCAGTTCCAAGCGCAGTCAGTGTTACACGGGGCAGTTACACACGGCACAGCCGCAGCCTGCTCGTCTGCAAGCATGACAGGAGTTAACAGACAGCACACACACTATTTTGACCACGGTTAGTTACAAACATAATCCTTTTCTTTAAAACTAAAGTAACGGCTGGGGGGCCCGGGTGGCTGGGGCGGCGAAGTGTCCGGCTCTTGGGTTTTCAGCTCAGTCATGACCTCACGGCTCGGGAGCTGGAGCCCCACGTCGGGCTTTGCGCGTAATGGTGTGGAGCCTGCGTGGGATTCTCTCTCTCCCTCTCTGCCCTCCCCCTGCTGCTGGCTCTCTCTCTCTCAGAATCAATAAATAAACTTAAAAAAATAAATAAAGGGGCGCCTGGGTGGCTCAGCCGGTTAAGCGGCCGACTTCGGCTCAGGTCATGATCTCGCGGTCCGTGAGTTCGAGCCCCGCGTCGGGCTCTGTGCTGACAGCTCAGAGCCTGGAGCCTTTTTCAGATTCTGTGTCTCCCTCTCTCTGACCCTCCCCTGTTCATGCTTTGTCTCTGTCTCAAAAATAAATAAACGTTAAAAAAAAAAAAATTTTTTTTTAAATAAATAAATAAAAAATAACGGTTTCATAGGTGTTGATGACATCAACAATTTCATACAATGACCCAAACTGGGAAAAGAGCTTGACAGTCTAGTGTGGAAAATTAAAGAGGTAAAAAGCCTGTACCCCCCTCGCCCTGTGGCCCTGGCAGCCTAGTCCCATCGGCTTCAACCCACTGAAGTAGCATTTGGGGTACGGAGGGTGGCTAAAGGACAGAAGAGGGGAAAAAGCAATATAAAGATCCAACTGGAGAGGAGTTGCAATACGTACTTTTGCTTTTAAGTATCTTTGTGATTAAGGTAATGTGAAGAAACAGCACTTAAAAACCTAAGATGTCAAAGTTTAATGCGATTTTCTTTTTTTAAGTATGTCAGAATAAGGTAACACGTTCTAGGTCTAACCTAAATGGCCGAGAAAAAGGAAAACTGACCTAGGCATGTCATTTTTATTACAGGGTTATTTCATCTAGTGAACCCTGCTTCCCACATTCCCAAAGTGTGGTAAAGTCAAACTTAAAAAGGCCATAGTTGGCACTATCATTGTTAAGTCATACAAATAAAATTTGTAAGCTTATTCCCTATAAAATACTGCCTGACCTGAGACAGTCAAGCAGGCAGTTATTTTAAGCATTCAAACCATATTCGCTAAAAATAGCCATGTGCCATGTTATGTATCAAGAAGGAAAATCAAGAAGCTGTGCTTTTGAACCAAAAACATTCAGATTTCTAACTCTTTGATGCACTTCTGAAAACCTTATTTTTAGGCTCATGATACACAGCACCTATTTTAAACAAGGTGAGTACGTGCTGGATATTGTAACACATTTGCAATCAAAATACTGCAATTTAAGACAAATTCCCCACTTCTGGCTCTTGCTCCCAATTTTAAGTCCTGAGATGGACACAAAAATCAGAAAAAGAGACAGGTTCTCAAAGACAGAAATAAATCAAAGACACGTTCTCCTCAGTGTAACCCACACACGGACAATGAAAACTCTGAGCCATGCTTACCAATGATATCAAACCAAAGAGGCGTGCCAGGAGGCTCCACAGATATCACTCCAATCATGTGAGCAACCGGGTCACTTTCCATGACAGTAAAGGTAAAAAACGGTTCTTCAAATGAAATCGGCTCCAGGGATGGTTTGGGTTTGGAAATCCATTCAATGTGGAGTCGCGTGGTTGACGACTTTTGGGGGCGACCATTATCAACTGCCTTAATCTATAAAATGTAAGCAGAGGGGATAAAAGGAGCAAATTAGAAGTTACATCCATAAGTGAAGCACAGATCAGTTTGGTCTTAAACTAAGTTAATTTCAAACAGTATCTGTATTTGTGTATTCCCCATGTTTAAGGTTTGATTAAAAAGAGCAACCTCTCAGGGCGCCTGGGTGGCTCAGTCGGTGTTCGGCATCCGACTTCAGCTCAGGTCAGGATCTCGTGGTCTGGGAGTTCGCGCCCCACGTCGGGCTCTGCACTGACAGCTCAGAGCCCGGAGCTTGCTTCGGGTTCTGGGTCTCCCCCATCTCTCTGCCCCTCCCCTGCTCACACGGTCTCTCTCTCTCAAAATTAAACAAACATTAAAAGAAAAAAAAAAAAAAAGAGCAACCTCTTCATGCCACACTCAATGTAAGTAATAACTGGAGTGACAGCTGAGGAGGACAACCTAAGCCACATTTCCCAAAGTCAGGTCACAAACACTGAGGCTACTTATTGAAGAAAGAAAAAGTTCCAAGAGAAGTGATGTGAGACCAGATTAACAGTCAAAGTATGTGAGAAATTCAAAGACCAGATCTTAACTCACTGAAAGGATATCATATTCTCCAGCTCCAGAGAACTTCTTGGACGAAACCACTCCGGTTTTTGGCTCAATGAAAAATTTGCCATGCTCGTTTCCATCTTCAATGCTGTAAGAGATCTCTGCATTGGGACCTTCGTCTTTGTCTGTAGCGATAACACGATAGATGGGCTCGCGCTTGGAGTTTCTTTCTCGTTCTGGTCTTTCCCGCTCTGGGAGTCTGATTTTGTAGAACTTTTGTAGGAACTGGGGTTTGTTGTCATTTTCGTCAAGGATTTTTACAATTACTCTAGCAATGGTTGACTTGGGGGGGCTACCATTGTCTGTCACGGTAACCTGTGTGTGAAAGGGAACAGGTCGACAGAGGTTTTTAAAAATAGAACTACATGAAAAGCGACTACCTTCCTCCTAATTGAGGATAACCTGTATTTTGCCTAAACCTGTATTTTGCATCTCACCCAGCACTAGGACGCACACCATCTCCTCTCCTGACAACAGGAGGCAAGGCGACGTGTCCCGTTCAGACAGGGACCCGGGCAGCAGGCGGGGGCTAAGGAGGAGGCACAGCAGGAGCCCCGCCTCTCCCCTCACCACGCTGCCTGTCCCAGGGCTGCCACAGCTGTAATGCGCATGTCGCCAAAATGGCAAACTATCAGCAACATCTCTTTGAATCATGGAAGAGCTACAAGGAGATTTTGCTTTTCAATAAGGAGTCCTCTTAGGAATAACATCCACTCTCTACCCTTAAAAATCACATCTCCACATACCGCATTAAAAATCATCAGTTTAGGGGCACCTGGGTGGCGCAGTCGGTTAATCGTCCGACTTCAGCCAGGTCACGATCTCGCGGTCCGTGAGTTCGAGCCCCACGTCAGGCTCTGGGCTGATGGCTCAGAGCCTGGAGCCTGTTTCCGATTCTGTGTCTCCCTCTCTCTCTGCCCCTCCCCCGTTCATGCTCTGTCTCTCTCTGTCCCAAAAATAAATAAACGTTGAAAAAAAAAAATTAAAAAAAAAAAATCATCAGTTTAAAATATGTGCAAAGTCACGTGCCTCTTCATACTAGCCGTCGCCCTTTTGTTCTGTCGGACCCTGTTCCTGCACAGGAGTCCTCCACATTCAGCAGGGCGGACATAAAAACTGTCATTCCAAACCCACTTATTCCATAATATTTTCAGTAAAAAGAACATAAATAACAACCTGAGGTCTTGAGGACTGGTGAATGCTTCCATATGCGCAATTTCATCCCGAAATCAGATGTCCACTATTATTTTGGTGTGTACGTTCAAAGCAATAACCCTAGGAATAGCTCCCTCACCACATCCTCCAAAATTAATCACTGAAATGCATTTTTAAAAATATTAAAGTATACTGCAGGTTTTTGTGGGACTCATTTTCTTTTTAAGGCTTGGTGAGTATAAATCTGTTGTTTATAAAAATGTGACTATATCCTAATAGTACTCATCAAGAGTATTTAAGTCAAGTAGCTGTTTCTCCTTAAGTACATGATTGGGGCACCTGGGTGGCTCAGGCGGTTAAGCATCTGCCCCTGGGTTTCGGCTCAGGTCACCATCTCATGGGTTTTTGAGTTCGAGCCTCGAGTCTGCACTGTCAGTGCAGCGCCTACTTGGGATTCTCTCTCTCCCTCTCTCTGCCCCTGCCCACCCCCCATCAAAATACACAAGCTTAAAAAGAAAACAAAAATGAAAAAAATCAAGTGCATGATTTACCTGCTCACACTCTCAAAATAAAAACAAAAGTTACAATTACTGTTTAATTTTAACCTCCCAAAACATTTCCTTTGGATCAGTTTTCAGATGATCTTTAGGAAAAAGAAAGAAAATTAAAGAGAAATAGAAGCAAGCACTATGTTTTGCAGTATCATCACCAACATGGTTTTAAGTTTCGGTTCAATAACCAGCAGCCAGTAACACAGCTTTTAACACGGAACTGCAAAACTCTTCAAGACAGGCCAATCGACACCGGCGTTGGCCCTCAAACACCCCACCAAGGACTACAGAAAACATACGAGGTATGTAAACAACAAACCATTACAGTCTTATTTCCCACCAACGTCTTACTATCATCTTCAGAGTCCTAAGTCCTAAGTCCTAACCTTACACTTGCTCCCATCCAGCCTTTGACAGGTGCCACCAACAGGTGGCTCTGGAGTAGGGCACACAGCCAGGAGGTGTCCCATGCAGCTCTGACCAGGGCACGGGCCCAGCACGATCCCCATGCCGGGGACCTGCCACTCCGGACAGATTGCCACCGGTTCCTTTTCTTCAGGAACCATATTCTCCCTTCTGTCAATCACTGTAGTGACTGGATGAAAATTCTAAGCTCTGCTCTATCAGAAGGAAAGCGAATTCAAGGGACCTGTACCACCGATGGCTGGATGGAACACACGAAGAAATTACTAACTGTAATGGTGGCTGTGAAGCACCTTTTCTACACAGGATATTCATGTGCACACGTTACACAGCTATAAAAACTACGTATTTTCCTGACAATTAGAAAATCAGACCAAGGGGGCACCTGGGTGGCTCAGTTGGATGAGTGTCCGACTGTGGCTCAGGTCATCTCTCAGTCTGTGAGTTCAAATCCACATCGGGCTCTGTGGTGACAGTGCAGAGCCTGCTGTGGATCCTCTGCGCCTCCCTGCTCATGCTCTCTCTCTCTCTCTCTCTCTCTCTCTCTCAGGAAGGAACAAAAGGAAGGAAGGAAGGATACTGGACCAGGGATGAAATGAAATTAAGCAGGTAGCATTACGAACAGCAATAATATAAAAAGAGAGATAGCTAAATATTAATCAAAATAATAATAACAAATCACAGCTTAGAACTTTCCCCAGGACCCACACTGGCAGAAGGGGAGATTCATGCAGAGGACTCGACAAGCACTTGGGTCTTTTCCAGCTCTAGCTCCAATCATCAACACTGGCTATTAACGTGTGACACAGAAATGCCAGCAAAGGTTACATGTCTGCTCTGCGTCCCTCCCCAAGTGCCGTCTCTTGTCAGCCCCCTCCTGGCCTAGAGGCCGTGGCTCCGGGCCGTCGCATCCGGCCCGCCGTCCACAGGACACTACGTGCCCCCCTCCAGACTCCTATCCCTGCGCCTACAGAGTGCCGACCCTCTACCAGCAAACTAGTGAAGGACAAGCTGTGTTTCTTCTTTCAGGGACTAGAAGGCATTTTAAGTGAGCTGTGAGCATGAGAAGCCTAGCAGAAGAGACCCTGTCAGTCTTCAATCTTTTAGTTTAGAAATGTTTACAAAGCACAAACTTTTAGTAAAAAGCACAGACTTTCAGGGCACCTGGGTGGCTCGGTCAGTTTAGCGTCCAGCTCTCGGTTTCAGCTCAGGTCATGGTCCCAGGGTTGTGGGATTGAGCCCCACGTCGGGGTCCACGCTGACAATGCAGAGCCTGCTTGGGATTCTCTCTCTCTTCCCCCTTCTCTCTGCCCCTCTCCTGCACTCTCTCACGCACTCTCAAAATAAATAAACTTAATTTTTTTAAAAAACAAAACACAAACTTTCTACAATTCAGTTTGAAACGCAAAAACAAGGCAATTACTTAAGGATAACGATAACAAAAACTGGAAACTAGCTACAGTTGAATTAGACCTAGTATCATAAAAAATCCTGAAAACAATACTGAGGAAAAAGATGTAGAAGGCCTATAGAAATACATCTCATGTAAATGAAAAGGAAATTTCAATAATATCACTTCATTTGATTGCTCTGTGTGTGTTGTGCATGTGAAAAGCACAATAATTTGAGCGGTCCTGTATTCTGGGGATAGAAAGGGATTTAAGGGGACATGAACCACACTCACAAAGGTTTGGTTTCCCCTTTATTTTCCTTTCTAGTAATGACCAGGAGGCAATATAATGAAATAGTAACAATTATGAAGACTAGTTAATGCGACCACGAATGTTCTTTCCCATGATATTTATAATTATAGTATTTTTAAAATAACTAAAATAAAGAAATGCTTACTTCTAATATATGTTCATCCTGCTGCTCTCGGTCCAGTTTCCTTGACGTTGTTGCGATAAGACCTATGAAGTGGTAACAGTTCATTAATCATTACAAATAAAGTCAAAATATTTACAAAATATCGTCACTGAAACCTCACTGAGCACAGAAGTCTGAGCAAATCTCTGATCCTGAAGGGAAAAAAAAATGATTAATCCAGGTTCAATCATTTTATTTACGACCAACACACTTCACACGGTCTCATTTTAATGGCTCTTAAACACAGTAAATGACAGAAGGATGAAAAAGTGGCAAAACTCCAGTTACCTTCTTGATGTGGCCAGTGGTTTGAATATACACTGTTGTCAGAAGACATTTTTTAAAAAGTTGAGATGAAGTTACTCAGGATTTCAAACTCCTCTAACTTCTGCAGAGACAATTAAGTATGAAGTGACAGAAAAAATCTTCTGTAACTGTATTAGAAGGACCAGTGGAATGGCTACCGCCATGACTTATTACCTCCCAATCACTGACCCTCGTAAGTGGAGACTCGTTATAAAAGTAATGTGACTTTCCAGGAAATACTGCTCAGATGTCAACTAATTTCCACTGGAAGAAAAAAAATAAATGATCCTCAAAGAAACCCCATATTCTTTATCTCCTTGATTTTTCTATCAAACTAGAAAATCTATAGTTTCAATCTGTCTCTAGAACTTTAATAACAGTCGATGTGAGTGTCCACATAGGTTGGATCCTGGAAGACCGTGAAAACTGATGAAATCCTTTCTGTACTTCACAAAATACACACAAAACTCCCCCAACCACTAACACAGCCTCCGCAGCCTGCGCTGACCATGGTCAGGGGTGTATACAGTGGATCTGACGTCAGATCAGCAGCTCAGTTAAAACCTTCTGAGGCAAGACGACTGGCAGGAACCACCTTTCTCTGGCCCAGCTTTTTGTGGTTTTTTTCCACAGGAAAATACTTCAAATAATGTATATTTAAGAAAGACTTTATCACTATAATTGATTTTCCCCTATTATCCTAAGTAATTTCACACAACTACCAATTAAAGGCTATTCAAAACGATTCTCTAAATTTGTAAATGAAAGGTTCGTGTTTTTATTTAATTTGATGAAGATTTTTTTCTTCCCTAAAATAGTTTACTGAGGATCTCAATCAACATGATCTTCCCCACAATTCAGTGAAGCAACGCACTCTTGCTGATAAGAACAACAAAAGACTATATCGTAAACTAGAATCTGGGGGGTTTCCCAAACCACACTTATAGATTGAAACAGGTTCAAGGAAAATGCACGGCAATGCTTAACGGCGGAAAAATGTTGCTTATTGTGGCAGATGTTTGATTTTCATTAGTCAAAAACCTTTTAAAGTTAATCCCTCTTGTTTCCTATCAAATGTTTACCACTTTCTGATGGTGGTTTTAAGTAGTTCAAGAATGACAGGAAATCACTGTGATTCGTCCCATCGAACTGTCCTAAGGTGCCCATCGAAAAGCTGTCATCAATGGTAACATCAGCAGGGGCAACAGCTTGGCACGTTCTCAGCAAAACAGGATCCTGCTTGTGTAGAGCATAATCACTTGTTGCAAGAATGCCTGTTGGCAAATAAGTTTCTACAGCCAATAACCAAATGCCCATTAACAATACAATCCCCGGGGCGCCTGGGTGGCGCAGTCGGTTAAGCGTCCGACTTCAGCCAGGTCACGATCTCGCGGTCGGTGAGTTCGAGCCCCGCGTCAGGCTCTGGGCTGATGGCTCAGAGCCTGGAGCCTGTTTCCGATTCTGTGTCTTCCTCTCTCTCTGCCCCTCCCCCGTTCATGCTCTGTCTCTCTCTGTCCCAAAAATAAATAAACGTTGAAAAAAAAAAATTAAAAAAAAAAAAATACAATCCCCCACTTCACGGCTTGCTTTCGGCACACTTAACAAAGGGTGTGTGCCCACATCCACGCGACAAATTCAACAGAGACAAAAAGCAAACCCAGGTTTATTATTTGCACTCTCCATATGCTTCAAATTAATTCTCCTCTGTTAACTCAAACGGAACATTAACTCCGTCTGAATGCAATGAATTCTAATGTTCTGTTCCCTTCTTACACACTCTTTCAGCCTAGTAACTGCTATCCACTCCCCCACCTCTCGGCTCAGACGTCACTTCTGAGGCCTGACCCGACAGGTGTGCCTGGGGTCCCGCGGCCGGGCTCCACACTCACATCTGCCGTAGCGCAGCACGGCCCCACAGGACTACGGTCACTCTCTCCTCTTGCTGCCTGCAAAGCCTAGGAGGACAGTCTGCCTTTCTCGCCCATCTTGGTTATACTGCTACACCTCTATTACCCTAAAAGAAAATACTTAAACGTGTGAACCAAAAAGGGGCAGCATTAAAACTACGTATTTGAGTGAGACAGACACATAAACTACCCTAAACTTGGAAATAACGATACGCATTTACGGCTCACATAGGCGCCAATAGAAAGTGACGCAGCATCTATTTACAGGCAGGACGTGCCAGGCGGTCCAGGGGAAGGTGGCGTCCAGGAGGCACGTAGAGGCCCAGATCCCTCATGCGGGGAGCGGGTTACACCCCAAGTACACCTGGGTTACAGGTGTACCCGAGTACGTCTGGGTTCCACCCCAAGTACAAAAGGCTGTGAGGAATAAAGGGAACGGTGGGCCAGTTTTACGAAAGTAGGGTCGAGCCACGTTTAGAAAGCCAAGAAGAAGCCGAGGGAGCAACAGGCTGAAGAGAAGCACCACGTGTCGCAGGAACCAGGGACAGAGAGTTTTAGGGAGGAAGTCCCTCCCCCGAGTACGTCAGAGCGGCTCAGCAGAGGAGCTAAAAGGAGAGCCGGAGAAGCAGGAAGGAGACCAGGACGGGTGTTTCTTTTATGAAGAGGAGACTTTAGCAGGCAGCACGGAGCCATGCAGAGAGTGAGCTCTGAACACGAGGGAAGATGAAGCCCGAGACCAGAGCTGACCAGTACAGGAGCCACAAGCATCGTGAGGCAACAAATTCAAATCGCACCTACAATAGCTCGTGAACACGGAACACACTTCAGACTGACAGACGGCCTTTTTTTCTGGATTCACAACACTCCTACCAGAAGAAATCCCATCAGAAGCGCCACGGTGCTTTCTTTTGCCCAACGCCAAAGGGCGAGGCTGTGCCTGTGCATCTGGGGGCGTTGCGGGGGCATGAGGTGCCCTGCCCCTTAGAGAAGAGAGAAATTAACGCTTCTTGTGGAATTTGCACACCAAATGAACCCCGGTGAGAGGACACATTTCCCAACCAGGAAGGAAAATCCCAGGAAAACCGGATGTCCTTGGAGCCACCCCAGGGAGCCACATTCCAGCCACGCTCACTTGGCACTCACTTCCGCTGCAATTCTGCACATCTCGATGCTGCTAATCCTTCCGCCAGGCCTACCTGACAAGCACCTATTTCGAAAGACGAATCCGAAGTGTACCTTTTCTATATGCCCAGTACGTGTTATTAACCCTGTAGGCGTGGAATATCCTAATAAGGATATCCATTTCTTTCATTTTAAACATCTGTGTTCATCTGTTATGTTTATTACTAAATCCCAGGAGGATCTATACTAGTAGAAACAGCACGATTCTTCAGAACTAGAGAGAAACCTTCAACATGATCGAACTCGCCTGCCTGAGTCAAAGAGAAGTTAAACGGTCCCAAGACCACCAGTAAGTCATCACAGCCAGGACTACAAGTGTAGTTTTCCTGAGGCCCCGTTGAGAGCGTTTGGGGATTCTTCTCTTCCCCATCGCATCACACTGCATCATTTACTATACTTTAGGATTTCAAGTCTCCATCAAGTCTGAACTACGACTTACGTAAAACTTAAGGGAACACACACGCAATCAGCAATAGTTAATCATTATTCATTTAGTAGGTCGAAAAAAGGAAGAAAAGGAAAGAGTGGGCAGAAGCAGAACAATGTATATGCAAGTGCTGCCTTTTCTCACTCTTGCGTTCCATCTTTTTTGTGGGGCACTATTAAACTAAAAATAGAAATGCAAAGACAAAGTTTCTTTATTTGGCCTACAAAAACATCTCACCGTGCAGACCAATACTATTATAAATGTAAGTGAACGGAGACAGCAAACACCCTATATTCTCACCAAGTCACAGTGGCCACTTTACTCCGTAAACATATGTGAAACTAAGAAGCCAAACTTTCCTGTTTGACGATCAGTATTAAAAAAAACCATGCAGGTTTCCAAGGCCACTTTAGCATTTACGGAAGAGAATCCATTTAAGGATACAAGAAAATTAGATTAACTAAAATGTTTCGATACAGAATTTTACTCTGACATTTCTTTCGATACCAAAAACCATCTCTAAACTTCTCAAAGTTGAAGAGGTCAAATGGACATCACGAAGTAGGGTAGCACATAAAGATGAACATCAAAGAATCAGCAGGTGAGGAGAAGGTGAAATGGTCCGCGAAGGCGGAACTATACGTAGGTATTCATTCAACCGTCCTGGGGGTGCGCTAAGAACGCAGAGATGACAAAGAGGCTTGTTTTCAAGAAACAAGGGTGAAAGCAAAGACCGCCTTCAACAAACTATACAAAAGTTAGACTAGAGTGGAGGGTACAGAGAGGACGCAGGGAGAAAGCAAGGGCTCTTGCTGAGGGTTCTGTATTCCATGAAAGCTTTAACTTGGCTGGACCATGAGACACACGTTAGTCTAGCCATCTCTATTGTTCCAGGAGACAACCAGCCCACCACTCAATGTGCAAGCGAGGCCAGCCAGGACCAACCAGCCTCGGAGAGAACCAGCCGAGTGACCACCGCTGCATGAAACGTCAGCCAGGCCTGGACAAGACCAGAAGCGCCCAGCAGAATCCTATAAGAAATTATGGTGGTGGCTGTCACAAGCCACTAAATTCTGGGACGGTTTGCTCCACGGCAAGGGCAAAATAATGCATCAGGTGACCTCACCTCTAATTGTTATCTGACTTAACTACATGCCAAGGTGGTGAGCTTTCAATAAATTTTCTCATTTAGTCCAGATGTATGCAAGTGGCGGTATCTATA